TATATACTTATTCTTATTTTATACACATTTTAAGTATATTTTGCGGATATTTTAAAACAAATAAACACCTATTTTTTAATTATGTTCCATTCTGGCATGAGTGACAGTAGTTTTTATATGTCTGGTTTATTGCCTGTATAGAAATTATGATTTTAGACACCAACATCATATCTGTAGCTTATTTAGTTCCAATTATATGCACATTTTAGATAAATTTGGCGGCCATTTTGAAATTTGGCGGCCATTTGCATACAAAGTGAAAAATCAAGTGTCAACAGAGTGTCAACAGGGCTTAGGGTGACCAGGACGGATTAATTAGGATATCTGGCTATGTTGACTGCTTCTAACATTCCACTCCCCCTAACTTGATTTCTAGGCCTCTTTTTTTATTTTTTTCCTAGTCTATAACACACTATAAAACGTGTATTTTTTTCAATTTCAATAGTGATATAATTTGTTGTTTGGATATACAGTATTCAAAATGTTTTTATTGTTATTAGAATTGATAAAAAAAATCTACAAATGCTCAATTTTTAACACAGTATGAATAAAGAAAAATGATCAAAAAATTATTTTCTATTTTGATCCAGTGGGGTCTAAAAAAGCACAATTTGAGTCACACTCCAAAAAAATAAAAACTCTCTGTGTACCCTTACCATGGATTTTTATTCCAACTCTAACCAAGTCAGGGCCCTGTGGTTTGGACCCCCACCCCTCCCCGTCAGACATGTCAGACCCCCCCCATGGGCACATTTCTGGAGCCTACAATATTTTTTGATTGGCAATTAAATCAATTTGAAGCATTTAAACATCTATTTTACATTCACCAATAAAATTTTATTTAAAATTATTTTCTCCTATTGGGATGTTTTTGGCAAAACTATTTTCAAAATAAGAAAACAATATTTTATTTTTATTTTTATTCCACCTTCGTCCGATGATCTTTAAAATAAGTATGCGAAACAAAGAATAAAAAAAGTCTCGCTTACTTTAAGGAGACAACCTTCTTTTAAAGGTGCTGTAGGGCTAAATGTAAGGGCGCCCTCTAAGATTGGTTAGATGACCAACATGGTCCTGGAGCATGATATTGAATAAAGCCTCCCTGTTTCACGGAGTTAGATCATTGGATATCGTCATACTGTAGCACCTCATAACGTATTTTGACAATTTTTTTGCTCCCGAAGGTGTCCCCTGAATACCAACTGTATCTTTATTAAAAGTAAGTTGAATCGTCCCTAGTATTGGGAATAGTCAATATGAATTTGTGTATGATTGTTCAAAATCATAACAAGCAGCGCTTTGTGTTCATTATACTGTTTTGCACTCAGTGTTGTTTTTAAGTTTAGTATTCATTCCACTGCAGTAGTATCAATGTCATTTGTAGGAGCACTTTAAATTAAATCAAAACCCCTTCAAAGAGCACTACAAATAATAAAAATAACCCTATGTAAATCCACTCTTGTCACTTCCAGCATAGAGTACAACAGTTGTGTCACAACACCAGATTGGTGTTGTGATGGCAAAACTGTGTTTTTCCAAGCAAAAAAAACACAGATTTATAGAGACTACTACATATGTTAATGTTAATCTACAGGAAAAAATAAATAATAAGACTTGAGGCAGACTGTGCTGTAAAACTCCAGAGTATGCAAACTGATTCTGAAAGGTAAAAGACTTAAAGAACATTAACAGGTGATGAATACTGTATTCCACTGAAAGCTGATTATAAAGTTTAACTAAAAAGGTTGCACTGAGTGACAGCAAAGGCTTGACTGACAGCACGTCAAAAATTGTTTATCTGTTAAGGAAGATCAGTTGAAAATTCTCTACTGTAGTTTGGCTTGCTTAAAAAGGCAGTTGCTAAGCCTATTGTTACACCAATGTTAGAACTAATTCCTAATCTGATTGGATATTTATTAATTTACATAGGCCTAGTAAAATATCAAATCCATCCAAGAAGAATTAAGAATTTGTTACAACTTGCAATTTACATAACAAAAATAGTCACTGCCTAACTCAAATTAACTAAACCTTACAGGCCTAGGCCTGGTTTGTTTTAGCTTTGTCTAGCTAGGGCCAGGCCTAGCAAACTGAATCTCATGAAAGACAAATCATTGTGTAAGCTGAACACTGTCACACACCTCACACAGCACAGGAGGGTATTCCTCAGTCTCAAAATATGATTGCGAACGCCTACTTCTCATTCCTCCTTCGTCAACATGGCCTAAAACATGCTTTAAATCACTATCTTTCGCGGAATTATTTTCATACCTGGATCTGGTCAGTTGCTGAATGAGAAGATCCTACAAAATCTGCTTCCATAGCAATCATGAAAACACACCGTTTATAGCTTTTAGAGCAGTTTCTATTTAAAGTTTTGTGCTTGAAATCTCCCAAATCAAAACAAAGATCATTAGTGATTGACCTCAGTGATTAACCTCTGAAATCATCTACCGATTATTTTAAATGAAAGTCGTTACAAAACCGGAATAAAAAAATACATTATTGTATTGTATATGCTAGGCCTAATAACAAATAAAATATTTTTTTTTAATATAAAGTTTGCATAATGTTTTAATTAAAATATTATTTATGATAAAATATTTTGAAATAATTTAATTTAAAGTTTTTTGTAACGACTTTGATTGATGTTTTTGGACAGTAAGGTCGACCAAGCATCAAAACGGCAACAAGAGAAACGCGAGAGAGGAGCATACAAAAACAACGTCGAAAGTAGGGACGCGAGGAGAGAGGACAAAGGCCGGCTGAACAGCCCTGAATTGTCACTGCTGTACACAGGTGAAACAATATAATAATATACTTATGTACACTTGTACATAATTTATATACACGTAAAAAATTATAGATATCGTAAATAATGTTTTTGTAAATCAGGAGCTAAAACAGAATGAAAAAGGTCGAGGAGGCCTAGCTAGGGCATAGGCTAGACTTAGAATAGGCCTAGTAGTAGGATGTAAGTCCTCTAGTCCTGTCCTTCTTAGTTAGGGCCCTAGGCTCTAGCCTACTTGGCCCCTAGACTAGACTTCAGGGCGAAAGCATAGAGACCATACAAACAAAAAACAAGGTATGCACACATGCATGCCTTTCTTTCCTTTAGTTCTAAATTAGTAAAATTAATATATTAAAAGTATCATTATTTTGTTAATTATAATTTTTTATTTTTGTCATTAATTAATTGTTGATCGTTTAGTTAAATAAAAGTGGAATGACGGCACCTTATGATTAGTTCATCACTTTTTTTTACTACGGTTAGCACAGTATATCACTCTTGTTTCACATGTTCATGACACTCCAATCCAATCCAATCATATAAGGCGCACTACTGTATGTACTAGTAGTGTCTCAATGCATCAATTTTGGAGAGTGCTCAAGGAAAAAAGGAAAAGTAGAAAACAGAAGAGGCAGAGCAAAAGAAAACAAAAAACAGGAGAAAAAGACAAAAAGAAAACATTAAATGGAGCTGAAAATGTGGCTTTTATGTCTCATTTTGAAAATATCCACAGATGAAGATTCACGAACAAATTGTGTTTTGTGGCAAAATGAAGAGGAGATTTAGAAATACCTGAAACCAAACGTGCAGCCAAGTTTTGAAGTATCTGCAGCTTACTTACTTATTCATTGTTGTGTGTCTACTCTTTCTTCCACCTCTATTAAACAATTTTAACTAATTACTTTCACTACTATGATTTTTTTTTTTCTTTCAGAGCTCACAGAGATGGATAGAAAGGAGAATAAAGAGCAGATGGGAAAGGAGTCTTTCACAATGCCAACCACCTCGGTCGTGGCTGCACCAGCCGACAGCAGTATCTCATTTCAAAAAGGAAATGGACAACAAATGAGTACCTCAATCTCAATGGTATCCAACCTAAATAAGAAGAGAGAACGCTCAAGCCCTGTAGACATCCATCATCATCCGCATTCAAAATCTATGAAAACAATGTCACTAGGTGATCAGTTGAGTGGACGAAGAATGAGCAAGCGAAAACGAGTTAAGGTACAGAATTTTAATAAGATTGTACTCAATTTTTATTTCTATGTATTTCACCAAGTGATATTACTCATTGATGGACAAAATGAAGTTACTTGTGGGCTTTTTTTCCTATGCTCTGGGGTTTTTGCTTTTCTAGGTTGAATATAAAGAAATGGATGATAAACTTGCCAATCTTTCTGAGGATGAGTACTATAGTGAAGAAGAAAGGAATGTCAAAAAGGACAAAACAGGACAAGATGATCCTGAAGAAAAAGAGGAAAGTGAAACAGATGAACCAAAAGGTAAGTTAATATCAAAATTAATAAATATATTAAATTTATGGGTTTTTGTGCTGATATTTTCTAATTACAAGATCTTTGTTTTTTCCTGCCTGTAGGTCTTGAAGGAGCTGCATTCTCAGCTCGGTTACCATCTGAAAAAATGACTTCACAAGAAGCTGCGTGCTTCCCTGATGTAATTCAAAGTCCACCACAAACGCAGAAACTGTTTTTATACATCAGAAATCGATTGGTAGGTCATAGCAAAGTTTATATTTTCAAGGGATACATGATACTGCTTTTGTTGTTGCAACTGTTGTCTTATATTGTTGTTGAACATTATTATTGTTGCTGCTGGTGCTAGAGTTGTTTTACTTATTGTGGGATTCCATATTGTGTCATAATCATCACCATTGTCGTCGCCTTTACCATTATCATCATCATCATTAGTATTTGGTACTGTTAGTATATTAATGTTTTCTATATTATTATTATTATTGCTTTTGTATTGTTGGTGTTGTCACTGATATCATCAGTATTGTTATTGTTTGTATCATCATTGTTGTAATTGCAAATAAATAATAATATTACGAAAACAAATATATATATTATTGTTAATTATTATAAATATATGTTAAGTTTAATTGTTATATCTAAACCTATCAAT